AAGGGTGGTGGATAAAATAGAGAAGAGGAGATGCCTAGAGAAAATGTCACACTAGGGGAAAATTCTGGATTTTTTAAAATACTGCCTTATAAGATTAAGAACTTAAAACTTGTATACTATTAAAATATGGATTATTAGGTAAGATTTTATGCTATACTAATTGGTATAGCAATTAGTAAAGTAGATTAATAAAATTGTAAATGTAAGTCACTAAAACCTTGTGATGTGCAGTAAAGGATGCCTGTGGTGATAGGGTTGATATGTGTATAGTGAATCCCATGTAAGGTTTGTAAAGGTCAATAATTGCCACAGGTAACCAACGAAAATCAAGATGGCAAAATGAAAGGAGCTCACAGACATTCATAAAGAATGTTTATGGTTGTAGTAATAGTGATATGAGTGTCAAAATCATTGTAACGAAATCCACTTTGGGATATACGAAGAAATATAGACCTCTGGGTGTGATAGTGTGGGGAATCTCTCATTAGTTTAGTCTAAATGCATCACTATGGACTGTAATAAAAGATTAGTAACTACAACCTAGCACTTCCACTGTACATATGGAGTCTTCATGCTGATGGATAACCTGCAGCCAGTTTTCACAGTCATGGTCTCAAGACTCGTTAGGGTTTGAGCTATTATTTGGAGAAACTAATTCCACCACCCACTGTTTGTGTGGTATGGATAAGCATGAGTTTTATCCAACCTTAAGAAAGCCTTATATTTAGCTGTGTAAGCCTATACTTGTAAAATAATAGTATTGTATTGTGAGTCCGTTTTAGCTGGTTTGGACTAGCTCTACTGATAATAGTTATAGGAGCAATGAATGCCTTGTAGCATAGTAATATTTGGTAAACTTCTATTAAGAAAAAAAAAACAAAAACTATGCTCCATAATGTCTAGCAGTTGTTGAAATGAATTATGTTCAGTATCTGCCATGGTTAGTTTAAAGCCCCAACCTAACTTTAAATGATTTTCTTGAAGCTGTCTTCCAAGAACTTTGGTGGTCTATTCCATGAGATGTTGTATCAGTAGTTAACAAACAGTTAGAAACAGCATCCAGTTTGTAATTAACACTAAAAGTGAAACCAATTGCTATTAAAATGGGATTCCAATGTAAGAATATACCATTCCTCTTCAGGGTGTGTTTCTCCATTACTTTTGTTACTTTGGTTTATAATATATTTCTTTTCTTTCTGAAGTGGTACTACCAAAACTGTTCTAACTTTTATATAGGTTAAAGCTAAGAGTACTTACGTGAGACAGTTAGAAGAACTGGGAGAAGAGTCTGGCCTAGTCTGTATCATCTGTCGAGAAGGTTACATGTTTCAACCCACCAAAGTTTTAGGTATTTACACCTTCACTAAGCGTTGCAATGTGGATGATTTCGATAATCGTAACAGGAAACCCCCTAGTTATACCACTGTTCCAGGTTACACCACTGTTACTCACTTCAATGTGGTACACGTAGACTGTCACATGGATGCTGTCAGGTAGGTTTATATGCTTAAAAAGTAAACAATTTTAATGTAAGTCTAGTAATTTATAGCTTTATATTTTTAATACAAAACTGAACCAGCAGAAAGTTTATTTTTTAAAATCTCAAACAAATAAATAATAAGGCAAATATTTTTATCTTTAATGAAGCATTTCCCAAACTTTTGTCATCTACACCCTCTCCCCTTCCCCTCCCACCTTTTTTTACACACTGAGTTAAATGACAAAAATATAATGCATGGATATACATTGAAATACTGTGTTGTAGTTAATTACTTATTAATTTTTTAATAAAAATATATTAAAATGATTAATTTTGCATTATTGACTCTAACCTTATCACTCGTGCCACCCCCACCCTCCCCCCAAGAGATCACTTGCATCCCCATGGTGGGGAAGTGTGCCCAACACTTTGAGAATGCTCCTTTAATGTATAATAGAGTAATCACTTGAGTCTGGTAAAACTTTTAATCATTATTATATAGTAAACAGTCTGGCTTGAGCCAGGGTTAACTTGTGATCTTTGATATATAGTAGACAGTCTGATGAATCAGGTAAATCTAATCATCTTTAATATGTACAGTAAACTGCTTGGTGGTTTTAAGCAGGTTTAATTTCCTTAAGATTGAATTGTCTAAACTAATAGGAGGTTTTATGCTGGCAGACAGCTGTAATTAGGAAGATGTTATATCCTTAGGTATGTTATCATAGCCTTAGTTTCTTCACCCTTCAATTTAGTCTTAATCATAAAAAAATAGTGTGTTTTATAATACTGTAGTTTATTAAATTTAAAAACCATTACCATATAATAGGCATGCTCGAGGACGAGATGAATGGGAAAGTGCAGCACTTCAAAATGCCAACACAAAGTGCAATGGTTTATTGCCTGTATGGGGACCAAAAGTACCAGAGTCGGCATTTGCCAGTTGCTTGGCTAGGTAAGCAAATTCTTTAACTTGCAAGCTTATCAGCTGGGGACATTGAGAGTTTCTTTATTAAAATAGCAGGATTTAATATGTAATTGTAGAACTTAAAAACTATCCTCTCATCCTCCCCTCATATCATCGAGAAAACGTGTATGGATTCTCGTGTTAAGACCATATTTTGTGACACAATCAGATTTGGAAAAGTAAAGTATCATTTTTTACACATGATTTGTTAGTGAAAAGCAAAGTTTGTTCAAAATTAACATGTTTATTTTCTTAAATCAAGATGCTTTTAGACGTAATAAGATCAGAAAGCTCATATAAATGTACTTAAAACTAGTGTCCTGTTAGCTTCAAAATATATTCTATTTCATAGATAAAGCAACTGTGGTTTTTTATCACTGATTTCTCTCAACAAATAAGATCTTAAGTAACCATGTGGAGGCTACGTCTTCTCATCCAGTATGTTAACCAGTGTTGTTGGCTCTGCTTTTCTTTAAACAAACAAAAAAGTGGATATTAACAGTATTGTAAACTTAGTATTTTTTTGTTGTTGTTTTTTTCCATGTATGTAATATTTTGAATTTGGAAGATAGTAGAAAATCTGGCAGGTTAGTCAAAACTGATCAGTGGAAATCTAGCAGATCCATACATATCTTTTTCACATGTACATTTAACTAGAATTATATTTTTCTGTAATATTTTACACAGACTTTAGAGCAGAAGTGGATAGTAGTGGGTATTTAGGTTTAACGAAATGATATAATAGAACAGTGAGTAGCACCAAAATGCTGCTAATGCCACCTACCATAACGGTGAACAGTCATGTCTAGTAAATAAATTTTGTTTTTACTTGCTTAAATTTCAAAAGTAGAACTTTTTGCCAGTTATTTGGACATTTTTATCACTACAATCAGTCTTTCTTTAATCTAACATAATTTCATTCTGTGTCTTTGGTCACACTATAACCACCCTAACAATTAAAGCTAATTTCTAAAACACTAATTAGATCAAAGAAATGTTCAAGTTTTAAGGGGTGCCACCAAATGTAATATAATTCAACTCATAGTAAACACAAATGGTTGAAGGTTTACAAGTAATTACATATGCCTCAGATATCTTGTTATAACAAGATGTAAGTGATTATGTTGAACAATTTTCAAAGGTTTTTTGTGGAAATTCTGGTTTCATATGTGGTGTTTTGAGTGGTAGACACAGCGATGCTTTCTTGTGGAATAAATAGAAATGTATTGATGATGCCTTTACTGGCAAAACCATGGTCACAATAAATGAAATATTTTACAATTATCTTTGTTCTTCTCAGTTCTATAATTATAGTTTTACCAAGTATTGATGGTTTCAAGTGTTAATTATACAGAATAAAGTACTTGAACAATTTATAGGCAGAACTTGTCAAACTAAATAAAAACAAATTTATTTACAGATAAACAAGTAAGTATCTTTAAAAACCTTTTTGAACATTACTATGTTTCGTTAGGTAAACCTAGTGAAACATATGGTTTAAAAAGAGAAAAAAAAAAGTTTAAAATGTATTTAATTACTTATCCATAAATAAAGAATAAACAACTTTTCTCTAAGTACCACCCACAACTTTCGTCGATCTGTTGTGAAGCCATTAAAATATGTTTACTATTTGATCAAATGACACAGAATGTTTTTAATACACTAGGTTTTTTTATTCTTTCTTGACCAGACATAATACTTATCTGCAAGAAAGTACAGGTCATCGAGATATCAGCTACTCTTCCACAGTCCACGATCTTAAGTTGCTTCTCTTGAGGTTTGCCAAAGAAAAGTCTTTCAGCGAAGAAAGTGGAGGTGGTGGCCCTCAGAGCAACATATATCTTATTCCTTACCTTGCCCACATGGCTCTCTATGTCATCAACACGTAAGAAAACTCGTTTTCCTGTTCAACACTTGCATTTATCTTAAGCCAGCTTGAGTCTTTTCCATTAAACAGGTCACTGTAACATACATTATTTACGATATGTTGAGCACTACGTATTTTTAGAAACAGGTATAATATTTGATAGGAAAGTAAAAGGTTTTATTATTTCTTAAATTTTACATGTTATTACATTTTGAGTTAAAGATGGTTATAGTGATGATTTCTATTGAACTTTAAACTTTATTTAGCATGTGCAGTAAATCTTAGAATAATTTCCTAAAAATCTCATTCTATCGGGCATACTGATTTAATAGCTTTTTGTCTTCTGTGATTGTGAATATTAAAGAAATCCCCAGGTTAAAGCACCTACAACAAGGTGGTTTAGTTTGTCGGTAGTTAAAATATTTACTATCGGTTAGTAACCCAGGTTTGAACCTGCTTTTGCAAGTGTAACTGCTTGCATGTTAAAAGATGGTATCCAAGTACAACAAAAACTAACTGAACTTGCATTGGGGCTTGATCTTGAATCAAGTTACTCTTGAACACCATATCATCATCAGTGGCTCTGAACTGAGTATTTATTAACCCATCAGAATAAATGTAACAATACAGTTGTCCCTAAAACTAGCTTCATAAGAACTTGGGATACGTCAGTTTTTTGTCTTTTTTTTTATAGATTTAGCAAGTTAAACACTATCCTTAAGAACGTTCTGAAATTGTATTTGTTTGCAGTTTCATTGGTTCTGTTCATTAACATTGAAGCCTTGTTACTATGCCAACAGTATCGGAATAACTGAAGCTATTGTTCAGCTAATGCAGATAACTGTTCCTAATAATTTGTTGGGCCCGGTATGGCCTGGTGGTTAGGGCACTTGACTTGCAATCTGAAGGTTGCAGGTTTGAATTCCCATCCCATCAAACATGCTCGCCCTTTCAGGTGTCGAGGCGTTTTAATGTGACGGTCAATCCCACTATTTGATGGTAAAAGAGTAGCTCAAGAGTTGGTAGTGGTGGTGATGACAAGCTGCCTTCTCTCTAGTCTTTCACTGCTCAATTAGATGGCTAGCATAAATAGCCCTTGTGTAGCTTTCCAGAAAATTAAAAACGAATAATTATAATTTCACCGTTTACAGATAGCATGCTCTTTTTTTTGTCAAAGGGGACAGTAAATAGTGAAATGTATCCCTAACAGAGGTTTGTAAAATTACTTGATTTTATTTAATCGTTCTAAAAGGAAATATTATGTATAAGCTTTGTCCTTAGTGCATAGCTTGTAACAGTGAGCTATTTAAAAAAAAAATCCAAAAAGAATTAGAAATGAAATCATATCTTGCACCACACCAACAGCTATAACATTACTTGCTTGGGTGACTTTATGCCAAGCTGTCTAGTTATGTGGTTCACGGAAGGCTGTAGTATGTGTATATATATATATATATATATATATATATATATAGTATATATTATATATAGTATAAATATATATATATATGTATAATAAAATAAAAAATAAAACATGTAGGTTCCACCAAAAGATCGCTCTCTTCAACAGTAAGTGTATCTACCATTAAGCACATACCAGTTTTGAGTCAGGTGTTCTTTATTAAATGAACTTTTTTTCTTATGGGTATTATTTGGAGATAAATAGAAATATTTCATAATTTTCAATGAAAGAATTCTAAAAATGATTTATGTCATGAAAGTAGTGTAATTTGATTAGAAATATTAAAGCATTTTTTTAGGCTATATGAATAATTCATTCTTTTGTTTATCTGCGTGTAATTGTTTTACATCCAATATGTTAAGATGTGATATTTAACTTCATCCTTGGTATGAGTTACATTTTTGTGTCTTTAGAACAAGATGTACAGCTAGAGAAGACAAGAACATAACCAACTTCCTTGAAGCTCCTCCAGATAAATGGGTAGAAAATTGCTTTGAGGTAGGTTTTGATTGATAATTCTGATGTGGGGAAAATTAAAAGAATAATCCAGTGAAATATATTTACTATAATTATCATGTTAGAGCCAAATATTGACTTTTCATTAAACTTTGGACCCCAGGCCAGGCAGTGTTAAGAACTTGTGTATGTATATATTTAGCTGAAAACATGCCACTAAACTGAAAGACTTCTTGTGGTATTCCATAATAAGGTTTAATTGAATATATGCTATAGCTAACTTTAAATATAAAAAATTCTCAGTTTACAAGATTGTTAGAAACTGGTCAGATCTATTAACAAAAGGAATCCTGTAAAAGCAAATTTTTTAGGTATAATTTATTTTTACTTTTTCACTAATTGAAGATATATAATGTGCAGTACACCCTTTTCATTCACATCTGGCTATGTTGTTTCCCAGTACTGATAAATAAAATTTCTTTAAAAAAAAAAAAGTGTACTAAAGATCCTGACATTTAGGCTAGTTGAAAGAAAAAAGGTTTGTTACAAACAGTTCACTGACCTAGCTGTAGTTTTTCTTGACTAATAAGCATAATGTTTCTAGAAAAAAACATCGGTAGAATTAAAATTATTTGGTTTTGATATGATCAGTGTGTCAGTAATAAAGTCATTGTGGTTGCTGAATATACATAAATACAGAGGGTTGCAGTTCAAGCTTTAACTTTTGATTAACTCAGTTGTAAGGTAGTAGTGTGTTATATGTATAATTGGGTGATACTGCTGACTAGAGATTATTATTTCAAAAAATTTCCATAAAGCATATTTCTATTTTTTTGTAGGCGGAAGGTCCGTACTACTGGTTAACAATGTCTGTTCTAGTACATTCCAATACCAAATGGCATGAAAACCGTGTAGCTTTCTTGAGAAGATTAATTATCCTTGCCCAAGCTAGGCACTGCTCACCTCAGGGTACTGCTTCTCTTAGTGACCTTCAGCCAAAGGACTATAATGTTTACAAGCCTGCTCTTCTATTTTTTGGGCTGATTAATGCATTCTATTCAATTCTATGGAAGGTATGACAACCAGTTTTGTGTCCTCCTCTAATTTATAAAAAGTTTCACCAACACCAAGTTGTTGGAAAATGTATGGAGATATTTTTTCCTGCTTATCTGTCCTGATGCATGTTGTTTTTTGGAAACCTGTTTAACCTTGCACGTGTATGAACACTTGTTTTAACATTTTCTTTCAGCGAGTTTCTGTAAGTGTCGGAGAAGAATGGGCTCCAGCAGTAGCAGAATACATCCGCCACAATGATCAGACTCTTTTGGAAGCTGGAGATAAACTGCTAAGGACCTACGAAGACGAACTACTGCTGTGTCAGTCCTTCATGGAATTTTGTGATGTTGTTGGTAAGGCTGTATCATAGATAATTTTCAGTGAAAAGTTATACAGCATCTATACTGTACTACATTTTTTAATGTTTTTCTCTTGCTTTGTTTTAGGGCTCCTGAGTAGTATTCCAGATCCTGATAGTTTTCTTCAGGAGACACTTCAGATGGTATCAAGAACCCAAGATGCCTGAGATTATTAGTATTTATCTCCTCTTTCAAAATTTATGAAGATAAAGTAATTTTTGTGTGCGTGTGTGATCCCCGCTATTGTAGTTTCTGAGCATTGCATTGTTGTATAATTAGGTGTTAATTATTGGAAGTAAATTTACCAAGCATTAACTTTGTATTGTGGAATGACTTTATTTTCAAACTGGAACACAATTTCTACATCCTCTTGTATATTACAATAACTTTTAGAGGTTTAAAAATTAGCTTTGTACTTCTTCACCTCTACCATTAAGTGATGAATATTAATGAGTTCACTCCGAATGGGAAGGTTCTTGAAAGGATTCTGGGATAGAACTTTATGAAAACGATGGTAATACTGGATCAGTTGTGTTAATGCCACCTGTTTAGAAAAAAAACAACATGAAAATAGAATGGGGAAATATTGCATGTCTTAACTTCAAATTACTATTAATTAACAAACTAACCTGTAAGATGTTGGTTCCATTTTTGAAGTTTGTGAAGGATTTCATGATGTCTTTGTTGATGTCATCCAGAGAACCTTTCCAGCCCGAGTTGAAAGAACGTACAAGTTGAGGTACTTTTTCTAAAAATATTTATTATACAATTAACTGACCCCTCACATGCTAAAGATATCTTAAACAAATAACTAGCTTTTGTACAAAACACCTACGTACTTTATTTGAGTGAAAACTAGGCAAACTATCGTCCACAAAACACTGTAATTGTAGGGTATGTTCTCAAAGTCTGGCTTATAACAGATGCAGAACAGTCCAATTAGATTCATCAACATACCAGCACGGAAGGGAAATAACATGGATTAATATTTCATAGTGTAAGATTAGTTGATTTTGTTCTATTTCCATAATAAATGTCAGAATTCAGTCTGTATTTCTACCTCAATTAATGACACACTAGTTACAAGAACCTCTTCCATGCAATAAATACAAAACATGATAGTATATAACCAGGAATCTAGTTGATTTGACTGTGTTATAAAGAATTCTGATTTTTTCAAAGTCAGTTAATGTGAAAGGTGACTTTCATACTCTCTAGGTAAAAATCAGAAGTTGCCAGTTTGTCAAAAAAAAAATTAAGTAATCCTTACAGAGATTCCTTGTTAGAAGTAAGGTAACAGCAATTTTTTCACTTACTGTCTTAGTACTGAGGGTAAGTGAAGAAGTTTACAATTCAGTTATTGTGTTGTCTTTGAGCTCTTTGCATTTAGAACAGAATGTCCCAAAACTACTATAATTTATCTGGCTTTCTAAATAGGTTTAAAAAATTCTTATAGATGTTCATACAAAATTCAAAAGGACAGTTGAATAAACATATCTATCTCTGCTGGGGTTAAAAATTTTAGATTCCTTAGGGTTTCTAAAAGTAGTTAAACTGCAATTTTTACAAGTTCATCACATTCACACTTAAGAAAAAATGGTAAACACATCCAAATGTTTTGGGTATAACTTAGCATCACCCAAAGCATTAGTAACTTGTTAAGGGAATTTGAGTCAATTTCCACTTGCGTTTAGAGAAGTCTTAACTGAACAAATTAAATGTTTAAAGTTTAAAATAAGTCTACTTACTTTCTTCTTTCTTTAAATGTTCAGACTGGCCTCTCTCTAAGTAGTTCTCACACATCTTTACAAAACTTATGAGCCCTCCAAAGTGGGGAGACAGAATTTCTTCCACATACTCATGTGTTCGTGCATTCAGTAGTTCCTTGAAACTTTCAGACTCTTTAGAGTCTTCACGAGTTCGCTCCTCCAAAAGAAAAAGTGCATCTCAATATGATGTAAATCGGACAGAAAATCATGCAAAAATTTATCATTTATAGCACCACTGTGGCTTTTTTGTCAGTCTAAGAACTCCATTTGCAATAATCTTGATTGAATTGCCTGCTTATAAATCCTTACACAGAAGCACCATTTTGAGCTGGTAAGGTGATTAAGGTATTATTATCAACTAATATAAATTGGTAACAAGAAATATAACTTAAGAAGCGTCATTTTTCATGCATTGTATAAGCTTGCAATAAAAAAGGAAAAAATAAGAGAACTTTCCATTTACAAAACAAACAATCTTCCTGGAGCATCTGATGGATAACTTTACCGCAAAATGTTTAGTGAGCTAAATGACAGATATCAAATGTATTGATGAGAAATGCTACCAGAAAATGGACATTATAATAATTATAATTTTTTTCTTTTTTCCTAGACAACAGACATGTAATACTTGCTTAAAGGTCTAATTAAAACAACTCTGTAGATAATTATTATCTCTAACTTACCAAGAGCACGCTAAGCATCATGTCATAGTTGTTTATGAGAAAAACTAGCTGTTCTTTGCGACCAGGAAACTCTGCTGCCATTCTGAGGATAAAGTTTTCCACTTCTCCTTGTAATGCTGCCAGTAGACGAGTGACTTGTTCACTGGGGAAATTTTCGTTTATTCCAACTAGTGCAGCAGAAAATTCAGCATATCTTCTTGTTATCTACACGAGAATAAAACAGTTTCCACATTTTCTAGGTAACTAACACTGGAACCTCATTGTCAACAAGAAATCCAAAACACTATGGCTGATGTGTTTACAATCTGGCTCAATCGAGTAGTGGGATAAATGTTTTGTACTGGAAAGCGTAGAAACGTGCCATTTTAAATGTATTATGTATATATTTCAATTAACTCATTTTAAAATGTTCCTTTAACAAAATATAAATGACAAATTTTTGCATTACTTGAATGGCCTTAGGAGTAATTTACGATCACGACGATGAGTCATCCTCAAAACTTTTGGAGACCTTCCTTCTTAGAGATGTTACTTTATTTATAATAGCCCCTACCCTTGTACATGTGTTCAAGATTTTAACCAAAGCTCACCCACTATTCACTTGGGACCAACTTTAAAGTTAGCAAGACAAGGGAACCTTAACCATATGTAAATGGGTTAATTTACTAAGTGAGTTTGATTCACATGTTAAGAATAAAAATACTTGTTTCTTCTTCCAGTTTTTATATTTCATTTGCATGTCCTCTAGAACCTCCTCCTAAATCAATCAAGTTTTTTATACACACTTTCTGTATGTATAGTTGAAAAATAAGTAATAAAATAAATTGATACCTCTTCACATATATTTTTAATATTGTACTTAGCACCAATCCTCCTGTCAAAAACAACAAACATAGTACATGACTTATTGTGATCTTTGCTGGTGTAAACCATAACAGAGTTAGGCCTCATATTTTTCACTAAGTTAATTCTTCAAATATACAACAATTATAATTTAACTGGACTTTCTAACTAAGCAATAAATAGATTTAAAAAATTCACACTCCTGCTCGGAGCACAAAACAATGCCAAAACAAACAATCTGCATTGTCTGGTGGTTATAAATAATCCAATACCAAATGTTGGAGAGAATCACCAACATTTTTTGAAGGGGCCTGGCATGTGGGTTCAACTTTGTATATATATATATAAGTAAAGGAAAAAGCTCGGAGGCTGTAAAGACCCTCAAAAGATCTTAAATGGACAATTTGTAGTACAGGTGCATCACATGATACAGAGAAATGAAGACTGGGTATTTAAATATTTATAATTCAAGGTTTTGATTCCAAACTTATTGATTAGATTTTGAATGCAGCTATATAAAAAAAAAAAGGTCTTGACATGTGCACTTTGGTCCTTCCGTGTGCATAGGGTTAATAAAATTGTTTCTTTCACAAATGTGATTTGGTTTAATTTTCACATAAAGTTACATGACAGCTATATGTGCTAGCCATCCCTAAAGAAAAGGTAGAAAGTCAACTCTTAGGTTACTCTTTACCAATGTATAGTAGGGTTTCAATCCCACAGATTGTGAGTTTAGTGCCTTAACCACCAGGTCCACAAATGTGATTAGTTCTTTAATACAAATAGTTAATTCTGCTGTTGAGGTTAATTGCACAACATTAGTAAAAAAAGTTATAACATTACATGATACGTAGACCAAGTGACCGGCATATCAGACTGTACATTCTGTTACACAGCAACATATTAATTTGTAATTAAACCTCTAATATATATACATTTAAGGAGGAGTCGATATACTTACATAATGAGGCCGCAAGTCGAAGGACCCAAATTTCTGTGGGTCACAGTCCCGAACACTCTGTATATTTAACTGCAAGATGTACTCAAACCTTGGCCAAAAGAGCTGCAGTAAAGCCTCCCAGTACCTTGAGGATCAGCAAGTACAATTTAACTAATTTTATAGAAGCTACTTTTTGTCCATATACATTTGGTTGATAAATAAATTTCTTTAAATATCTAAATAATACTGACTCGGTATAAGTTGAGAACAGAGATTTTATCTTTTAATTGTCTGAATGTGCAGCAGCATTTAGGGGTGGGATAGACAAAATTAAATTTTTAGCACAAAGTGTTAATTCTTTAGTTAGAACAGGAAACATACAACAGATTACTCTAAAATAACTAAGCAATAAATAGGTTAAACATATTCTCTTTCCTGCTCAGAGCAGAAAAACATGATTACGAAAACTAAAACGGAAGCCAAATATTTAATTACAAGCCTCCTAACATGCGTTTCATATTTTAAGGTACCTAACTTTCTGATTACAATGTAAGTAAATAATTTTAGGACCATAATGACGACTGAGATTAACAAAAACAATTCTAACCTTCTCTCAAAGTAATCTCGAATGTTTTATCACGTAATATTTGTTATTAAATTTTTCTCCAACAGCTTAACTAGAATTGATAGTATCTCTTCCCTAAAGTTAACATCAGAGCTCATGCAAAAAATTTGTTGCATATCACCTGACTTTGAGAAACAAATAATTGTGTATATTAACAATAACAAATATCTACTCACTTATCCAATGCAGGTACAGCCCTTTTATGCATCAGCAGTTGGAAACGATGAATAATGTGGATACATAAGAATACAGCAATGGAGTCATAACAATCTTGTATGTAAACATCAACGTGTTTCTAATCAAGTAAGAAAATGTATTAAGCAAACTCTCTGAGATGGAGTCAAGTTTTCATTAAAAAGTAATTTTAAGTGACTGTTAAATGACAAAATAATAAAACCAATAGGCTTAACATTCATAATAAAAAATCATACCAGACTGCAGGTGTTTTTTCCATGTTCTTAGTTACTGCATTGTGAATTTTATATATTTTTACCACCTGAAGTCTCTTCAAAAGAGTTTTTCATTTAATTCTAGAACTCGCCAGTTAGCATACAAAAGTCTATCCAAAATGCTATTGCATAAACAGTGGAGAAAAATATCTGAAAAAACCTTGTGTGATTTTTATAATGAACATGAGAACTACTAATTTCATTGTTTCCTCAGCTTTTGGTGTTTAATACCATAACATTAAATGTTTCATACTGCACCTCAGTTAGTGAAATCTTGGATAGACTTTTAACGACAATAAAAAAGAAAATATATCAACACTCTAAAATCAAATAAGTAATTAAAATGCAATGATTCCTATTTACACATTAAAAGTTTAATAAAGTAATCAACAGCTTTCACTTAAAAACACTACATGTTATATGTTTCTACACACTTCTACATGTTTTTAAGTAAAAGCCATTGACAGCTTTATTAAACTTCCAATTGTATAAACTTGATTTTAAACATTACACACTTAATCAACAGCCTAGTTTTATTTTATTATGATAAAGATTACGTTATTCAGTGTATCATTAATAAAACAGCCTGTATTTAATCAGTAAATTTAAATTATTTGAAAAACAATGAGGATTTATGGACAGCTATAACAACTTGCATTACCAATAGACATCTGAAGAGTATTAAATTTCTATACTCGGAGCTTTAATAATTCAGCCTAATGACAGAGTCTACTAAACAGCACTCACCATAAACATGGTCAAAGTTTTACCTATCACCGCATGAAATAGATCCTGTGCCCCTGTCCCACTGACCATGAAGAACTCTGTTAGAAATAGATATTCTCTGCATGCATTGTCCACTAAAGCATACTGCTGGCTACGAAAGAGACTCTCAAATGTGTACTGAAAAAAGAGTTAAATAGCTTGTTTCAAAGAATGATGTATAAAACAAATATATAATTAAGTTGCCCTTTTCTTTTACTTGTTAAGAACCAAATTTAAATTATTAAGATATGAATATATTTTTATTATTACAATAATAAATTAGGTGTTAATCAAACAATGATGGATAAAATCTGAGTCCCAAGGTCACTTACGACTGTTAAGGCAAATTAGATGCTGATGCATCCTTAGTGATTTTGGGGCAAATTTTACCTGACAGTGCCCATCTCCTCTCCAGGTAGCTGTCCCTCATTTTAGCAGTGAAAGACTAGAAGGAAGGCAGCTAGTCAACACTGCCAACTTTTGGGCTATTCTTTTTAATCAATATTTATAGTGGGATTGACCATCACAAGTGTCCCCAGGGTTGAAAGGGCGAGCATGTTTGACAATAAGGTTTCAAACGCACAACTTGCAGATTGTGAGTCAAGTCCCTAACCACCAGACCAGATATAATATTACCAGAATCATATCATTAACAACACATATTTAATGGCCATGATAAAAATAGAAAAGCACCATTAAATATTGACCATAAAATAATTTAAGTTAAAAACACATCACAATTAAAGCACTGGTAATAATATCTTCACAACAAATACACGAGACCGTGGTATAATTATATATCTAGCTATTATGGTTGTAATTCTAAGCAAATAGTTTTGGAACCTAAATGAGACTGAGAAGCAGTACATCTACAGGTGTTTGATACTGTAGGTACCTAGCTATTGTGGTTGCAATGTAAGCAAATAGTTTTGAGACCATAATGACGACTTTACATCTATTAACTTTGTGTGTTTCGTATAACAAAGTATTTTCAAGGGCATGGTAGATTACTATGACATTTGTAGTTATTATAAGTAATTCCTTGATGGCAAGTGAGCATTACTTTATCAGTGTTCACCTGCTGCTAGTTTGTTTTAAATTGTACAACAACAACAAAAATCTATTTAACACTTTAACTGTAAACTCCAAACCCGATTCACCCCTTGGCAACTCACTTAGCTAAACTCATATTCCTCGATAACCTTGCAAACAGACCATATACTTAAGAATTGTAAACTCCAAACCCGATTCACCCCTTGGCAACTCACTTAGCTAAACTCATATTCCTCGATAACCTTGTAAACAAACCGTATACTTAAGACTCCTTGGCAATTAACTAAGCTCAACTACATTCCTCTATAAACTTGGAAACCATTTCTTTAAGGCTTGAAAACTCCAAATCTGATTCACTCCTTGACAATTAACCAAGCTCAACTACATTCCTCTATAAACTTGGAAACCATTTCTTTTAGGCTTGAAAACTTCAAACCTGATTCACTCCTCAGCAATTAACCAAGCTCAACTTACATTCCTCGATAAACTTAGAAACCATTTATTTTAGACTTATAAACTCCAAACCTGATTCATTCATCAGCAATTAACCAAGCTCAACTTAAATTCCTCGATAAACTTGAAAACCATTTCTTTTAGGCTTGTAAACTCCAAACCAGATTCACTCCTCAGCAATTAACCAAGCTCAATTCACATTCCTTGATAAACTTGGAAACAAACCTTACTTGGGTATTATTGACATTTTTACATAAATATAAAGATAAAAATACATACTTGAATTTAACATTAAAAAATGTTTTCTTTTAAAACTCTAAACCAAACAAATTACAATGACTTTCCAGCAATTTCTATTTTGAAAACATCCAGTGTATTAGCTGTAAAAAAACAGAAACAGCAAGCTTTAAGACTAATTTGTTTTGTTCTTAGTCAATCAAGTATATTTAACTTACAAACAAGAATAATAACACAGCTAAGAAAAGACTAACAATATTAGTCAAGCCTGATTTCACTGTTGGAAGACAGTTTGATGTTTTTATTACACTGTAATACAACTAATTGTTCTTATAACAGTAAAGTAAATTTTTTTTCATACTTTAGTTTCATTTTTTTGGGCCGTATGGGGTACCAAAATTGGACTTTCAAGATCAGTGGTCAGTACATTTCCACGATCACCAAGAGTAAAAATAGTGGCCTTGTTCTTTAACGAAGGTTTGGTGGAGAAGATACATGAGAAAAGTTAGGGAAAATCACACTACATACTAGTACCTATACCACAATTTAACAGTTGAAAAAATAGGTAGAAAACTTTACCAAAAATGAAAAACTTCAAATTCTTGTTCAGTGTAGTTTGTAGTTTTATTTTACTACCTGAAAAAACAACAACAAGATGAAACACAGTAGCAAATAATTGTATATACTTTATAAAATCAAATTAACAGTCACTAACACGACTTAGATAAGTTGATAAAAATTACAACAGTTGTTGTTCAAGTAACTGATGATGTAAGTATAGTACACACCATAACAGTTGTTGGTCAAGTAACTGATGATGTAAGTATAGTTCACACCATAACAGTTGTTGGTCAAGTAACTGATGATGTAAATATAGCTCACACCATAACAGTTGTTGGTCAAGTAACTGATGTAAATCTAGCTCACACCATAACAGTTCTTGGTCAAGTAACTGATGATGTAAATCTAGCTCACACCATAACAGTTGTTGTTCAAATAACTGATGATGTAAATATAGCTCACACAATAACAGTTGTTGGTCAAGTAACTGATGTAAATCTAGCTCACACCATAACAGTTGTTGTTCAAGTAACTGATGATGTAAATCTAGCTCACACCATAACAGTTGTTCAAGTAACTGATGATGTAAATCTAGCTCACACCATAACAGTTCTTGGTCAAGTAACTGATGATGTAAATCTAGCTCACACCATAACAGTTGTTGTTCAAGTAACTGATGATGTAAATATAGCTCACACAATAACAGTTGTTGTTCAAGTAACTGATGATGTAAGTATAGCTCACACCATAACAGTTGTTCAAGTAACTGATGATGTAAATATAGCTCACACCATAACAGCTGTTGTTCAAGTAACTGATGATGTAAATATAGCTCACACCATAACAGTTGTTGTTCAAGTAACTGATGATGTAAATATAGCTCACACCATAACAGTTGTTGTTCACGTAACTGATGATGTAAATGGTTTCGACCACTATTAAGTCTGTTGTATCCTAGCTGATCTGATGAGCCCTGGTATAAGCAAGAGACCTCTTCAACACTGGATATAATAGATATAATGTGTTTGGATGTATGAATACATTCATCTTTACTTTCACTCATAATGTTCTTATAATTATTAATGTAGTCTTCTTCCATCGATGCTGTAGTCATTTGACAAGCTCCAGAACCAAAAAAAAAGATTAATTTACTGGCTCATAAGTTCTTCTGAATGAAGAGTAACGTTAATTCAAATGAAATAAGTAAACGATTAACATTAATAATAAACACTCTGATGTTAAAATAAGTAATGTAACTAAATATCACTAATCAAATTCTGATGTGTAGTAATTTAAATAAAATGATAAAAATTACGGTTTATCACTGTAATATAGTTCACACCAAAACAATCTCAACCACCATGTCTGTCATACACCAACTGGCCTGATAAGCCCTGGTACTGAGCAAAAAGCCTCATCAGCATTGGATATAGCAAATATGGTGTGGTTGACATATTATTACATTCTTCTTTAATTTCAATTTTAAGTTATCATAATGACTTAAATAAAATGTAATGAACAATCATTTAGAAAACTTCATGTTTTTCTCTGATTTTTTTTTACTATTCAGTACAAAAATTTCAAATAAAAATATAAAAATGTTTGAGAACTAAAGGATATTCTTCCTTGCTGTATCTTCTACTCCCATTAAGTCATCCTTGTCAGCGGTTTCTTCAAACTGTTAACCAAAGAATTAAACTAAGTTGTACACACTGAGTAAGTCATCACATCTACCATTACTAAACCAATAATTTTTAAAATATTAAATATCAGTGTATTATAATTCAACAGAAAATCTACAAAGTTTATATCTTATGAATTTATTAACCCTTTCCAGCCTAGTGTCCACTTCCGCACTAGCATCATAACAATAAATGTCATTACACTTGGAATGCAAGACACTTTACAGATGCAACATGATAAACAATGAAATGTTTTTAACCTAACTTAAATTTTTTGGTAAATTGACTATTTAAAAGGAAATAAAAATTACTACTTTGACATAGCTGTAGAGTATGTAATAAACCCATAACTACTGACCTGAAAGTCAGGTTTCATATGGATACTTCTTGGTATTAAAACAAATCCCTGACCTTAAGTTTCATGTGCTAGCCCACTTTGTTTAAAGAAATTTTGAAATACCTTATCTATCATTAAAATATATATATATATATAGTATTTATTTTATTATATATCTAGCTATAAAAGTTATCTCTGTGATCCTTTTAGACATTATGGACAGCTGTATCCTACCCCATGTTTGAAAAGGTTTTAGACACATTTCAAGTTTACCAATTTACACCCAATATAACAAAAAAGGCCAAATAGATCATGAGAAAGAAAACAAACAATCCCACCTGTCAGACTATATAATTATGATTTTGTTTGCTTTACAAGCATGGATAATTGTAAAACAAAAGTACAGAAAGTTAAATTTTAGTTTTTAACTAAACCAATTTGAAAAATTTACTGTTTTCAAAGTTTTAAGCTGGAAATTAGCAAAAAATATGTCCAAAAACCACTGATTTCCAACTTTATTTCATATGCTAACTAGTTTTATCAGCACAGGAAAGCTGAAATATTTAAGTTACACAAATAAAATATACAATTCTGTGGGCAAAAAACAAAATTAGGGTTAGCAGTTTCATTTTACTTGATTACTATGTAAAAATAAATATGAATAAAATTTATAATTTAATCAAAGTTATAAATCAGAACATTTCAGTTATAGTGTTATATCCTAGATGACAAAAGTAGGAAGTTCAAACAGACAGAAGTTTTTAAACTTAATGATGACATTTGCCCTTGAAAAAAAAAAAACACAAGATACTTACTAAAAAATGTTTAAGAACTGAAAAAAAAATTTAGTAATACAATGAAATATCAGCTCCTCCTTAAAAACAAAAGTGATGGTTCTTATAGGAATATTTTAAACCAAAAGTTATAATTTTATAATTTATTTCTATTATCGTTCAGTGATGCCCTCTATATGCAAAACAAATTTTATGTATGTCACAAGCCTTCTATGTCCCCTCCATTAGAATTGACTAATTCCAATGTCTCTCTCATGCAAATCATCATAAGTCAACCCTCCACCAATAAGAATATGACGTACTGTCATGATGCATGTGACTACCTCTATTCATTTCAACCAAAGTACCACTTCGAGTTTTGGCAGAAGATGGAAGAACCAGTTTTCAGTTGGGAGGAAAGGTAGTAAGTGTGAGTAGAGGTACGTACCTTTCAGAAATACATTTTCATTGTATGAAAATTATAACTTTCGATACCGTACATTACCTCCCCTCACATAAATAGCTAGAATCCCACATTGAATACATGGAGGGATCAGTACATAGTAAAGAAAGAAGCATCTTTCGAAAGCATCCTAAGGGCACTCCCTAAGATGAAACAGTTAAATTCTAAGATCTGATGTGGGAAACTGCACCACTTTTGAACCACGTATACTCCTAGCCCATCTTGGAAAAATGTCACATATATGGGCAGAAAAACAGAGGAACACATTCAAGTGGGAGAGAACTATGACAAGATACGGATCTGAACCATTTGATTTTTATGAAACTCAATCCCAGAAATTATAAAAGTGGGTAAAAGAAAGAAAGAGGTAGGAAAGGACACTACAGAAGGAAGCCATGCAGGAAATATAACAGAGAAGTGCACGTACAGGACATAGAAGTCTATCTGAACTAGAACAAGGATAAAGGTGTGAAATAGAAAGAAGGGAAAGTGGCTAAACGGAGGCGTTATCCTCACGAGCCACCGATGTGTTAGGGAGGAAAAACGATCTAGAAAAAGAAGAAGATATGTAAAAAGATAAAGAGTATGTGAAACATTGATGGCAAATAAACAGACCACTGAAGTCCACAGGCGAATAGGAGAAGGAAGGAAAACATAATGGAAAGTGAAACAAGGGGCACTGGGAGAGTGGTTCAAATGTAGGCAAAGTGAGGCAGTGCAGGACCACATTAC